TCGGGGGGCGGTAACTCGACTGGCAGAGGCACCGTCGCTTTCAGAGGAACGACCGTAGCGTCGAAGATCTCCGCCAGAGCAGCCGCCCTAACATCTAGCTCCTCCTCGTCATCGAAACACAAGGTTCCGGTTGCAGGATTCCGCACTGTTACTGTAGGAGCAGCTGGTTTCGGAGCCAATCGCCGAATGATGCGGTTGTACTTCTTTGAGTCTCCTTGGCTGTTTGCTTGTTCAGCAGTTGCGATGAGTTTGGCAGTGCGCTCCCGCTTCTCGCGCCGCACGGCATGGGCAGCTGCTTTCGAGCTCTGCTTGAATTGGCAATGCACCGTCTTGAACAACCAAGAAGACTGATCTGGAATTCAAGCCATCATGCGCTGAACGGCATGTTTCGCCGCTATGAGGTGCAGCGTGGCGGTTGACCATTCTGGGAACACCCGCTTGCCCGGGAATGTCGCGTAGTGTGGCAAAGCAGCGTCAATGAGGGCGCCTTCCAACGAGTTGAAGAGAGCCGAGGGGTTCGCGTACTCCCGGTCTGCGCCGCAGATATCCAGCCAGGGCTTATCCAGTTTCCTTGTCTCCACAGCATTGCGCAAGGCGTGGTGGAATGAGTGTAGAAGCTCTGGAGGGTCGCCCGCTTGCATGGCCGTCAAATGCTGCATGATCTTCTGGCGGTTCCATTGCAGTCGTTGCGGCGGTCGGCCACGCCGCACCCGTGGGCCAGCGTAAATGTGTGCCTCCACAGGACGGTGGTCCCTGTATCCACCAAGGCTCAACGGAGCTTCCCGGAGTGTGGCTGCACGGCGGCCGTAACCACCCCGAAGGCGCGTCCAGACGTAGTCCAATCTACTCCAGCCTTCCCGGCCAGGGTGGCGGAAAGTGCCTGCGAATGCCGAGCGGCGGCCGAAGGTGTTGAGGACTTTGAGGTGCTGGTTTTGGACAAATTCTACGAATTTCTTGCCGTTGCCATTCGTCTTGAAGTGCATGTGCCTCGAGCCCGCGTGGCCTATGTGTGGCAATGTTTCCGAGACGGTGGCGTTCGCGTCCATGCAGCCCACCAAGGCGCACCGTGCCGGCACCTTGTTCACCGCCGAACTGCACGCTTGCCAGAAAGCATCTTGGGCCCGGTAGTGTGCAGAACAATGATCAGCAGGAGAAACGCCCGCCGGAGCGGGACTAGGCGAATTTGTAGGGGAGCACCCGTTCAGGATGTATAGGTCTCTCGCCGATCTCCCAGTCCTCTTCAAACGGAGTCCGAGGGCACGCCCTGGAAGCCAATGGTGTACACACCGGAGCTCCTCGGGAGCAAATATCATGTTGTTGAACGCAGTGAGGACGCCATCCTTCGATGTGGTAGTGGTGCGGGGGTTCGAGACAACGCTGAAGCCGTTCGACTTCCACGAGGCAGCGAAATCGAGCAGCGTGCCCTGCAAGCAGACCACAGCGACCTTCCGGCGGCTCGCCTCTCGCAAGATCTCGCCGAGCCTGTCGAGCACTCGGAGCGACTCGCAATTATAAGACCAGATCCGGAGACACTGCAAAGCACGATGTTGTCGAGCTTCGAGGCGGCGCCGGTGGAGTCTGCTGTCAACGGGTTCACGGCATGGCGCAGTGGAGGGTTCCACCAGCAACTGCTGAGGATCAGTGGTGAGGGAGGCAATTGACGCTTTGGTATAATGCACACCCCAGTGAGCCAGTGAGCAGCACGAGTCGCACGGCGCGTCTCAGTGCCCGCTTGCCGCCAATACGCCCATGTTCCAGCATCGTTGAAAGACGCCTTCAGCGAGATGCTGTCCACCCAGATTGGGCCATCTCGGAACGCTCAGGTCAGGGGCACTGGATTCGAGTGTGCATGGCAGGCCCCCCAGGGACTTGCGACCCTGGAGCTCAAATCATCCCTCGCGCTGTGCGATGCTTGACCCTTGCGACGAGGTCTGTGCACATCCGCCGCCCCCGGCCGGGCCCATCACGGGCGCAGGAGGGGTGTCCTGTGCCCCTCTTGGCCACGCCCGGGGGGGCATATGCACCGTTCTTTGGCCCAGGATAGAGTCGGGCCTGTCCCTCTACAGGAGGGATATTCAAAAATAGTAAACAAATAGCCTATGGACCGATTTTTGGACTATTTTTGATCATTCGGGGAGTTCTTTTCTGAGTATCTTCCATTCTTCGCCCAAAATCCCCCCGAATGGGGGACACGCCCGACTTACGCCCAGGATGGGGCTGGCCAGGGGCGGCGGTCGTGCACGGATCTCGTCCGCCCGAGACCCACGGAGCCGTACTCCGTGCCTGCGTGCGCCCAGCAGTCGCGACTCCCCCAGCTGGATGCCCGCCGCCCGGCTGCCGGCCTTGCGGGGGCGCATCGGGGCCCTGCGAGCCTGCCGATGGGGGAGGAAGAGGTGACGAGGCTTGACGATGACGGTGGTGGTGATAGTGATGACGACGATAAGGAGGATGACGATGACCATGACGATGACGATGACGATGACGATGATGATGATGATGATGATGATGATGACGATGACGATGACGATGATGATGATGATGATGATGATGATGATGATGACGACGATGATGATGATGATGCTGATGGTGATGATGATGCCGATGCTGATGCTGATGCTGGTGATGACGACGACGACGAGGATGATGGTGATGCTGCTGATGATGGTGATGATGATGACTATGATGATGGTGACGGCAATGATGATGATGCTGATGATGATTATGATGATGGTGATGGTGATGTTGATGCTGAGGATGACGATGACGATGGCGCTGACAATGTTGATGAGGAAGGTTGTTGTTGTGATGATGCTGATGATGATGATGATGATGATGCTGGTCGTGATGCTTATGGTTGTTTTGGTGATGACGGTGCCGACGACGACGCCGACGACGACGACGACGACGACGACGACGACGACGATGATGATGATGATGATGATGATGATGATGATGATGATGATGATGATGATGATGATGATGATGATAAGGAGGGGGATGATGATGATGAGGAGAAGGAGGAGGATGCGGTTGATGCTGAGGATGAGGATGAGGATGAGGATGAGGATGGAAACCAGTCCAAACCCAAGACTCATCAACGATGTTGGAATAAACCCCTACAAGGGTTCATGTTCACTGAGGGTAATGCCCGTTCGGAGATATTTGTTTGAAGATGCTGAAGCGTACCAGAACAAACATTGTCGTGGCTACAACGTCATGAATCAATCTGAGTTTTGCGTTTTGCCGATCTGGAATCGTGCCAGGACACCATTCCTGGGACTACACGAGTGATGTAACTGTTGCGCCCTGACAATCCCGAATCGTTCCAAACACTGTTTCTGGAACGTTAGCCATGTGATTCCGGGACACGCTTGCAAATGTTTCAAACGCATGCGGGTGGCGCCAAGGGCGGGAACCACATTTTGACAACGGCCCGCCTTCAATCCGTGAAACTCTTGCAAAAATACATAATAGAATGCGGGCGGCTCTTTGGCGAGAGCCACATGTTGAAACGCCCCGCCCTCAATCCGTGAAGCTCTTGCAACTATTGAAAAAGAATGTGCGCGGCGCTACGACGAGAGCCACAAGTTTAAAAGGAACCGCCTTCAATCCATGTACCACGTTGAAAAGATGAATGTGCGCGGCGCCAAGGCGAGAGCCACATTTTGAAATGGCCCGCATTCTTTCCGTGAAGCTTACGCAAATATTTGAAACGAATGTGCGCGGCGGCAAGGCGAGAGTCACATTTTGAAAGCGGCCCGCCCTCCATTCATGAAGCTGATGGTACAGAAATATCAGGCGAAACGCCCGGCCCGCCCTTCCGACTGGCCTCGGGTTGTGACAGGGAGGAGTTATTTATAAGGAAAGGGAATTTAGGATCAGGACGAGGAGGGGGATGAGAACGAGGAGGATGGAAGGAGAAGGAGAAGGAGAAGGAAAAGGAGAAGGAGGAGGTAGAGGCGGGAGGAGGAGGAGGATGAGAAGGAGAAGCTGGATAACGAACATGGGAAGCGTGAGGAGGAGAGGGGGGAGCAGGAGGCTGCGGAGGAGTGGAACAGGGCAGGGGTAGGAGGAGGAGGAGGCGGATGAGGAGGATGAGGATGAGGAGGATGATGATGATGATGATGATGATGATGAGGAGGAGGAGGAGGAGGAGGAGGAGGAGGAGGAGGAGGAGGAGGAGGAGGAGTAGGAGAGGTGGCTCGACGAGACGGGGCCTCTTGCGCAACATCCTGACAGAGGCGGGTGCCTTCCCTTGGGCCCACCGCGGTCCCCTTGTCCTCGCACCGAGCTTTCTAACCACCTCCTCAGCGGCCTCGGTGGCAGCTCTGGATTTGCATCCGAATTATTCCACTGGCGGCACCGTTTCGGCAGCCCACATCTGGGCCACTCGTGATTGCCACCATGGTGGGGCAGGGAACGGTTGAGGCGCGCTCATTTTGAAACGAGCGGGCTGATGCACGAAGCATGTCCTCGGCTAGACAGGACTCCCGTGCTCTGGCTGCGGATCGGTGACCTCGTCGCTCTGTCGCGGGCTGGACGGCGTGTCGCGCCGCCGCCTGGTTGTGGCCCACCACCTTCGTCGCGACACGCTATCCAAGTCCCGGCCCCGGAGCGTCAACGTCCCGAGCTTCTCTCCGCCTCCCGCCCCGTGGAGCAGAGCGACGCGCTGCCAGCTCGCAGGGCACAGCGTGGCGCCGGGGCCGCCGCCGCGACACGCTAAGCAAAAGCCTCATCCTAAGTACGGTCGGGGCGCTGAGGAAGGAACCCTTTTCGTTGGGGAGGGGCTCGGTGTTCCTTAGTTTTTTTGCAGTTCGCCTTTGGTCTTGCTGAGGGTTTCGATGGGAAATCGAAATTTAACTCGTGGGAAAAAGGGGCCTCGTTCCTTATTTAGGGTTCCTTAGGTCAACGCCCCGACTGTAGCCACACTGCTTCGGGAGGAGCCGGCCCGCTCGGGCAGCCTGGTCGGCGCACGCTCTGGCCGCCGTGGGAGCGCCGAGGAAGGAGGGCGACAAGTGGGAGCTGTACATCCCGTCGGAGCTCGCGTACGGCGACTCTCCGCCTCCTCCCCTTGCCTGTAGAGATCATGCCTGTAGAGATCGTATTACCCCAGACGTCTGGGGCAGAGATCGTAGTATCCCCCGGTCTCCTGGCGATCGCAGGCGTGACCGGGAGGGAGGGGCGAGGGGGCCGGTCACGTCACGATCCGCGCCGGCGCCGTCTGGGAGTGTTCCATGCCTCAGCATGCCCAGACGGCGCCGGTGCGAGTCGTGACGTGAGCACGGTGGGGGGAGGGATGGGGGCGGGGCAACGTTGGGGGCCATAGTTAGGCTCAGGGGAGGATGCATCGACCCACGATCTCCTCTGGACCGCTGATAGGGGCCTGATAGCCCACCCCGCCCAGGAACATGCGGATCTGCCATCGGGTGCCGGTCGCCGATCTATCGGCGACGTATCGCGGATTCCATGCCGATTTCCCCCCCGCTGAGCCAGTTCCCCCCGAACGTTGCCCCTCAATCGGGGACAGAAAAGGAGGTGGGAGGACACTCGAGCCAGCGGAAGGGGTGACAGCTTGGACTCCCAGCGGGCCAGCCAGCGAGTGGGGGATGAGATTGGCTTGGGCGGCAGGGGGTAGGGGCGTGGTGTGTGGTGTATGTGTGTGTCGGTGAACTGGGCGGTTGGGATGGGGCCAAGTTCCCAATGGCAACAGCACAAGTTGTTTCGCTCATCTCTGCCCGCCCTCCCACCACGTACACAGGTGGCACCTGGGATCCAGCAGGGGCAGTGGCAGCCATTCGATGGACAGCTGTTGTGAGCCAGCGCAGGCGCCAGGAGCGCCACTCTCGCGAGGTGCGCAGCTTGTGCCAGGCGCACTGGGCTCGCGTGGTGCGCAACGCAACTGCTAGCCTCGGGCTTGACGTTGCAAACAAAAATTGCAGCATCGCAGAAAATCACCGCTGGAGCCCCAGGCCACATCTCTCTGCTTCACCTTTCGGGCCCCGTCGGTCTGTCAGGGTCCCGGGGCCCGACTCTGGCCAAGAGCGCCCGCCGCGAAAACTGTGCAGCGCCAGGATCTCAGGGCAAGCCAGGACGCGCAGGTGCCGTTGCGTGCCGGGCGCACCCGGTGCGCCAGCTGCGCCACGTGCGCCGCGCGCGCCCGTGCTCCAGGCGCACGGGGTCCGCGACTCGCGCGGCGGGGGCGACGCTCGCGGAGTGCGGCAGTTGTGTTAGTGCGCGTTGTTTTTTTTCGTAGCGGCACGGCAGAGGCAATCCGCACGGGCGCTCGAGTTGTCGGGGGCGCTCGACAAACTAATCGCCCGGTAGCAAGGGGGGACGCGCGAGGAGGAGAAGCGGCCGCGGAGGACAGGTGGGAGGACGAGGGCACACACAGCTAAAAGCATTTCAGGAGGAGCGCACTGGGGCGGCCAGACGGGGCTGAGGTGTCCTGGCCGTGGACGTGGAATGCGCGTGGCAACACACATCGGGAAATGTGCGCCATCCTGGCTACCCGGGCTCATGTCGACTCCTTCGATTCGATTCGACTCGACTTCGGTGTGTTCCGATTTCGATCCGATTCGGCTTCGGATTTCCTTTCGGATTCCGATTTCTCAATAATGGAGGCCTGACTAGCCTGCCAATATTTCCGCGATTCACTTCTCCCGACTTGGCTGCGAGTTTCTGCCGATCCGGTTCATTTCGATCATCTGACAGATGAATCGGTTCGATTTTGTGTTGTCCTGCTACCCGTGTCGAAACCAATGCAAAATGACGGCGGGCGGCCAGCATTGTGTGTTGTGTGCGCACCCGCACTCTCCATGTCGTTTTGATTGTGACGGTGGGCCAGGTCGCACGGAAGCTTTCATCCGACTATCGTAATCGTTTACCAGAGTCTGCCGCAAACGTCTACCTATTGCATTGCTTCTTGTGCGGGTTGCGGGGGATCCTGGGATCTTGTTTTGGGCCGACGGCCACTCGAATGGTGGAGGGGGTGCTTATCACATGGAGCAGTGGTTCAGTGGGATGGAGCGGGCAGAAGCCAAGTGGGCGAATGCGGAAACATGAACGAGGAAGCGAGCTATAGAGTGAGCCAACCGGGTCCGTAAGTAAGCGAGGCAACTCAGTGTAGGGTGTGACGCAAATCCTTGACACCTCTCGTGCATCTCAACCAGCCCATCCAAACCGATGCCTAGGCGAGTTGTCGAGAGAAGGAATGCGGGGGAGCATCATTGAGGCAAACATGGAAGACACTGGGCAAGCCGAAGCTGGGGCCAGCCCAAGCTGACCTTCGCAGTGGCCACCCTGGGGGCCTCTTGGAGCCTCTTGGAGGCCTCGAGAAACCATCTGTGGGCTCTCCTCGGGCACGTTTGGTCCCATTCGGGTCCTACTGGAGGCAATCGAGCCCCAAAAAATGGGATCCTTCTTTAGCAATGGCGTGGCCCCGCCTTGCGGAGGTCCCTCCTGGACCCGTCTTGGGGCTCTCTCGAGCCACGATGGGGCCAGCCGCGGCCCTTCTTCCTCGGAGTGACCTCGAGGGGGCCTTCCACACGGGGCCCATGTCCATCCGGTCGATGCGATTCGGTATCGTTTTCGGCTGCCTCGGTCCAATTCGACTCCGACTTCTGGGCGATCCCATGCGGCCCGATGGTTGCACGGCGCTGCTGTGCATCCTGGGGCAGCCGACCCGATTCGATGCGGCCCGATCCGGTTTATATTCCGATTTGATCCAATTTCCCGAGTCGATGTTGACCGATCTTGCAAACGGGGCCCAGACGTCAATCGGTGACCCCCTCGAGTGTAACTCGTTCGCCGTTCGATTCTTGCCCCCCAAGACAGACCTGCGAAATTATAATCGATGTGCGTTTCCTTGGAGTTGCTGCGTTTCAGAGTTGCCCAGGTAGTATATAAAAACTGTGCTGGTGCATTGTGTTTTATCATGCTGTCTGTATGGAACTTAGATGCTTAGATACGTGTAGTAGATACTTGTGGAGTTCGGACATGTTTGGATCTGAATGGATGCCGTCTGGATATGCTTGGATACTGGCGCTGCAAGTCATTAGTACTTTTAGATACGTAGTGATGTTTGGATTTGTGTACGTACGTTTAGATATGTTTAGACATGACGGCTCTGAGCGCACGGAGTGGCAATGCTTAGTTGGTATAAATGGGTACTTTTGGATACGGTGCCCATCACTTGCCCTCCTTTCGGCTCATCGTCCTCCTGGCTTTTCGTTTCCTTATCCGCTCTGCCTCGCTTGCCCTCGCTATGTAACCTTATCTTCATTTGTATATCACACCTTCCTGTATAGGCAGTCATCGTCGCTCCTTCCCTCCCTCCCCATCATTGCTCATCCTCTTTCGTCCTCCTCCTCAGTGTCCTCACTCCCCTCCTCCCTCGTATCATCCTCCCATTCACTCGCCATGCATCATCAATCAACCGCCTTCTCCGCGCTCCTCCTCGAAGCCGTTCCTTCTCCTCCTCCTCCTCACCCCAATATTGTTTTTTCTCAGCCTAACTCCTGCGCGTCACCCTGCGACTCCAACTCGTCAGTATACATCGTTCAGTTTTTGGTTTTGATCATCCTCCGCATCGTCCTTTGCTTCCCCGTCATCCTCCTGCCCTTCGTTGACCCTCTCGATGCTCCTCCCCCTGTGTTTATATCAACCCTCATCCGTAGTATCATTACAAGCTCCTCCTCCTCGTCATCGTCGTCATCATCATCAACATCATCATCACCACCATCATCGTCATCATCATCATCATCATCATCATCATCATCATCATCATCACCATCATCATCATCATATTTCTCATTCGTGTTACTCGTCTCCCTTCTCCTTGCTCACCAGCCTCGATGCTCCTCCGCCTCGGCACCCCTCGTCGGAGGATGACGAGGGGGAGCGATGAGTGAGGGCGCCAGGGGGCAGGGGAGCCAGGGATTCTGGGCGGAGTGACAGGACGTTGTGGGCGCCCTCCTCTCTCCAGGCACCCGCTGCATGCACCTCTCTTCCCGGAGTGGCCCCGGGTGGCCTCGGAGATGACCTCGGATGGCAGCGGGTGTGGCGCGGGTGGCCGGGTCAGGGTGGTACCGCCCCCCCCCCCCGTAGATTCAAGCGAATTCTCCCTCACCCGTCCCTGTTTCTCCCCTCGGAGGGGGGATCTTGCGGCGATGCTGACTTCGATTCTGACGTAGCGTTTTCGATTCCGCTTCCCGTTTGGAGGCCAGGCGAGATCCCGATTCTGGTCCGATCCGGTGCGTGTTGATGTTCCGATTCCTTCCGGTCCGATGTCTCACCGATGCGATCTCGAGTTTTCGATTTGATGGAGCGTGGCGCTTGGTAAGGCTTCGGATGATGCACAGAGCCGCTGCCTGTGCGCAGCCCGAAGCCTTACCAGTACCGCCCCAGACTACTCGGGGGGCCCGTTGAGGCTAGCCCAGACTACCTGGGAGGGCTGTCTGTGCGCAGCCCGAAGCTCTTCCAGTGGCGCTGTATCCTGGCCCGCCTTCACTGCCCCCCTGCCCCGTGTCCTGCCAGGGCGCAAGCTGCACGGTGTTTTTAGCGATCCCGTGGACAGTTTTCGTTTTGATCTCTTTTTGCAGCAGAGGCGGAACGAAGACGATCCTCGTCCTCCTTCCTCTTCGTTCATGCCGTGTCTCACGCGTCTAGTGGCCAGGTGTGTGGTTTCACAACGCCAGCTGTTTTGCGAGCTGTGGGTGGCTCGTCGAAGGGTGTGGAGCTTGCGTTATGCATCGGAGAGAAAAGAGCGGAACGAAGAAAGAGCGAGGGAGGACGAAAGCAAAACGACAACGGAAAACATTGTTTAGCTCGCGCCCCGTTTCCTGCATCCCCCCTTCCGCCCAGGCGAGCGAGGAGCCGGTGGCGCGATCCCTCCGAGCGCCGCACTGCAGTTCCAGATGAAGCTCAACAAGGTCAAGCGGTGAGAGCCCCACACGCTGAGCAGAGGAGGAGGAGGAGGAGGAGGAGGAGGAGGAGGAGGAGGAGGAGGAGGCGGAGGAGGAGTAGGAGGAGGACCCGCGCGATGGCCTTTCTGCCCTGGGCCGAGGGCGCGCTGCACGCGCGCGCGCGCGCTTCGCCGAGCAGACGCGCACTCGAGCCGACCCGGCTGGACAGAGGGTCTTCGTGGCTCGGAAGGGTACGGCCAGAAACTTTCGCTTGCCGCGCTGCGCCGCCAGTTCTGGCCCAGCGCGTTCAGGCGAGACACGCTAACCGCGTCCTCCATACGTCAACGTTCGCTGTGGGGTAAACGGGTCTCGAGGGAAACGGTTCCTGAGATTGTTCGCCGTCTTCGAGCCTTGGGGGCCCTCCACGGGCCCTGGGACTGTCAGATGAAAACTCGTCCCAGGGGACGGCACCAGGGTCCAGGACCCGTTTTCCTCAGGACTCGCTTCCCCCATGCTATTTCGCCCCGTGTTTTTCTCCGGCCTCCCGCATCGCGGGGCGGAGCGACACGCTGTCAGCCTGCAGGGCACAGCGTGTCGCCAGGGCCGCCGCCTCGGCATACTGAGCAGAGGTTCCTGGCCGTGGGCGGAGGGGAGGGGGATGGGGACGGGTGGGGGGCGGAGAGGGACCTCGGCGTTCACGAGGTCTTGCCCCCTGGTGTCAGGCAGGCAGCCCTGGCTGGTGTGCCTGGGGGGGAGGCCCCGTCTCTGGCCCTCGCCGGGGTTAGGTCGAGGCCGAGGCCTGGCGAGGCGACGTTGAGAAGGGTACGGCGAAGGGCAAGGAGCGGGGGAGGATGAGGGGGTGGGGGAGGATAAGGGGATGGGCGGGGGATGATAAAGGGAGGGGGAGGATAAGGGGGTGGGGCAGGTGTTGAACGAAGTGGAAGGGAAGCAGAAAGGGAGAGGATGGAGTGCAAGGGGGGAGGATGCAAGGGACGCTGTGGAAGGGGAGGAGGAAAGGACTGGGGATGGGGAGCGGGGTGAACGAAATGGACGGGGTGGGGGGCTGGGTGGATGAGGCGGAGGGGGAGGGGAGCGGGAATGGGAGGGGGAGGCCAGGGTCTCCCCCCTCCTCCTCCTCCTCCTCCTCCTCCTCCTCCTCCTGCTCCTCCTCCTCCTGCCTTCCTCTTCTTTCTCCTCCTCCTCCTTCTCCTCCTCCTCCTCCTCCTCCTCCTCCTCCTCCTGCCTTCCTCTTCCTCCTCCTCCTCCTCCTCCTCCTCCTGCCTTCCTCTTCCTCCTCCCTTCCCAGCAGCCGGATGTCTTCAGGACGACTCGGGCCAAAACGCCCAGCGCTGACGCCACGAGTCCTCCTCGCCCAGGCGGAGCCAGGCCGCACCCGTGGCACGAAGGCCAGGCGACGAGCCTCTCGGGAGGCTCGAGCCGCTGGCTGGTACTGCCTCTCCCCGTCGTGCTCGAGGAGGCCAATACGTCCGGCGTCACGAGTCGCTTCGAAACAAGATCGAACAACAGAACAACAAGCAAGCAGCAACACAGGCAACGCACGTACCGAGGAAGCCCATGCCAAGAAGCACACCTTGCTTGCCTCCAGGGTGCCCCGGCTTTCTTGGATTTCCACGGTTTTGCCGTGGACAGCGCGACGCTCCCGTACAAGACAGTGGACATCCCAGGGTTTCAGGGTTGGGTTTCTTGTGGAAGGCTTCTTCTGGTCGAGCTTCTAATGTACGTCCGACGTCACGACTTTTCGTGCGCCTGCCCCTGGCTTTCGCGACCCCTTCGCGGGGGCCGGCCTCTCATCCCGAGCGGTGTTTTGACGGGGCCAGGGCCGTCCAAGGGCCCGAGGGAAGCTCGGAACCACTTCCGTCTGGACTTCTCAGATCGACAGTGATCGGGCTGGGAGAATGGGGTTGGAAGAAACGGTCAGATCATCCGTACTATCACCCAGGTTGTGTGTGGTCATTGCACAGTCGTACCCTGTATCTTCCCAATCCCCTCCTCCCAGCACGATGCTCAGGACTTCGCAATCCAGGGGGGGGTAGTTTGAGACTTGGATCTGAAACAACAAAAATAAACGGGCCTTTAAAAACATGGTTGCTCCCCAACGTAGGGGCGCTCACCGGGCCTTCCGCCGCACCATGGTCGGTCTCCAACCCTAGGAAGCTGTTCGCTGGGCCTTCCGCAGCATGGCCGGGTATTCCGCAGCATTGTGTTCTTGAGACAAGGACCTGAAACAAAAACGTCCGGGCCTACCGCAACATGGTGGCTCCCCAACGTAGGAAGTTTTTCGCCGGGCCTTCGGCAACATGGTGGTTTTTCAACGTGGGAGGTTTTTCGCCAGGCCTTCCGCAACATGATGGTTCCCCAACGTAGGAGGCTATTCGCCAGGCCTTCCGCAACATGGTCGCGTTCCGACGTTGGGGGGTTATCCGCTGGGCCTTCCGCAACATGGTGCCCCCCCCCAACGTAGGAGTATTTTCGCTGGGCCTTCGGCAACATGGTAGCGTCCCAACGTAGAGAGGGTTTAGGCTGTTCAGGGTTTAGTGTGTTTAGGGCTTAGGGCGTCTAGGGTCTCGGATGTTTAGGGTGTAGGGCTTAGGGTGTTCAGGGTGTTTAGGGTGTTTAGGGTGTTAAGGGTTGAGGGTATTTGAGGTTTAGGGTTTTCGGCGCTTAGGGTGTTTAGGGGTTAGGATGGTCAGGGTTTTGGTTGTTTAGGGTTTAAGGCGTTTAGGGCCTAGGGTGTTTAGTCTTCAGGGTGTTCAGTGTTTAGGGCGTTTAGGGCTTCGGGTATTTATGGGCTTCTGGTGTCTAGGGTTTCGTGTGCTTAGGGTTTAGGGTGTTTAGGGCTTAGGGTGTTTAGGGTTTAGGGTGTTTAGGGTTTAGGGTGATTCGGGTTTAGGGCGGTTGGGCTTTAGGGTGTTCAAGGTTTAGGGTGTTCCAGCGTGTTGAGGGTTCAGAGTGTTTAGGGCTTAGGTTGTTCAGGGTTTAGGCTGTTTAGGGCTTAGGGTTTTTATGGCTCAAGGTTTTTAGGGCATAGGGCGTTTACGGTTTAGTGTGTTGAGGGTTTAGGGTTTTTAAGGTTCAGGAGCTTTAGGGTTGTGGTGTTTGGGGTCTAGGGTGTTTAGGGTTTAGCGTGTTTAGGGTTCACGGTGTGTAAGGCTGAGGGTGTTTCGTGTTTAAGGAGTTTAGCGTTTAAGGTGTTGACGGTTCAGGGTGTTTAGGGCTTCGTGCGCCTGGGCTTTCGGGTGTTTCAGGGTTGAGGGGTTGATGGTTTAGGGCGTTAGGGCTTAGGGTGTTTAAGGTTTAGGGCGTTTAGGGCTTAGCGAGCTTAGGTATAAGGTACTAAGGTATTTAGGGTCTAGGGTGTTTCGGGCTTAGGGTGCCTAGGGTTTAGGGTGTCAAGGGCATCGAGCGTTTAGGGTTTAGGGCGTTTCGGGTGTATAACGTTCAAGGTTCAGGGTTTTTAGGGTTTAGGGTGTTTAGGGTTTAGGGCGTTTAGGCCTCAGGGTGCTTAGGGTTTAGGGCGTGTAGGGTTTTGGGTGTGAAAGTTCAGGGCGCTGAGGGTTTAGAATGTTTAGTGCCTTGGGTGTGTAGGGCTTAGGGTGTTCAGGGTTTCTGGTGTTTGTTTAGTGTCTAGTGTGTTCAGGGTTTTAGGGTACTCTGGGTTGAAGGTGTTTAGGGTGTTTAGGGTGTTTAGTGTTTAGAGTGCTTAGGGTGTTTAGGGTTGAGGGTGTTGAGGGCTCAGGGTGTTTAGGGCTTAGGGTGTTTAGGGCTTGGGGTGTTCAGGGTAAGGTGTTTCGGGTTCCTGAGGTGACAGACTTCGACGAAAGCGTCGACGAAAACGGCCCATGGGCAAAGATGAACGGAGCATCAGACACACGCGAGTTCTACCTCACTTCACCCAAACCCAACCAATACCACGACATGCACTGTCCTAGCGGATTGACAGCATATGGCTACTACGCCAAGGACACGGACACCGACGGCTACGATGACAACAGTTGGCATTACGCAGTCTGTTACCACGAGCATCCCAACACGTACACGTACATGTTTCCAAACGACGGCCTGTTCTTACTTCGATGGTACAGGTACCTCAACAAACGCAACAACGATATATTCGTGCACCAGGACGGACATCAATATTTACCGCACCCACCGCTCCGACCAGACTCAAGAGCAACTCCATCGTCAACTCACACTCTACCACCTTCCGGCTCCAACCAACACATTCAAGCTCAAATACGCCATACGCGTGGACATGCATCTACCCATGCCCACGCCGCCCAGCCACCCCACATTCACACGCTATGGCAACTACTTGCAGGCATTCGCACCACATTACCGCGAGAACGCAGCCCTGTGACTCCAGGTCGTAACGACTAACCAACATTTCCAAGCACTGCTCACAGAAGTCAATCACCCCTCAACAACAAGATCGCTGCCATACAATAAGTTGCTGAATGGCTCGACGCATGCCACAACGACGACGACCCCGTGAAGCACGACTGGGCAGTCAATATACGAAACACGGCTACATTATTGCAGCATGTATGTAACCCGACTTCGACCAACCACAATACTACAGCAACTAAGATCGACATCGTTAGCTCCAGCCAAGAACATGACCATGCCGACGCCATCCAGCATGCCAAACCACCACCTCCCACGCTACCCCCACCGAGTGCACAAACCACAATACCCAAGAAACGTGCACCCGCACTGCCACCAAAATTGGCAGACACACGACGCACAGACTCAATAACCACACACAGGCGCCAACGACATACCAACCACACCAGCCTCAACCAACACAGTACCAGTGAAGCAAGCACCTCCGCTGTTCAACTTGTCGACCACACCAAACGCAACTATACCGACGACATAACGACAACCACCTCATCTCGACAGCACACCAACAGAGAGCTGCGACGCCGACACCGCCAGCGCCGACGTTTCCACCTACTTGCATAAACATTACACCTTGCAAGAACACTCCAACACCCTCTGTAGCACCCAACACACTACACACCAACACACAGGTGCACCAAGGTTAAGTTCAGCCCCTACCTTCTCAGCCAACGCTGGGCGCCAACCAACCAACTGAGCAGCCGAAGACCACGCCCAGCGTCAGCACCACACCGACAACGACAGTGATACAAGTAACACAAGCTAAAGCTGTCATTACGTGGTCTCCAGTCAAGCCCGCCGTATCATCCCACCCACCACCACCTATACTACACATACCTATCCGATGCCCACCAAACGAGGATAGCAGGACGCATCCATGGATACAGGAGGTACCCATCAACAGCATGGCCCCGCAAACGTTTGCCACCCTACACACCTACTTTCCGACCCTCGCAGCACAAGCAACAGCAGCGCACAACGCAGCAGCGAGAAGAGGAGACCAGCGCATTCTCATCTTCAGCCGACGCATCATTTTCGTCAACAACATAGGAGACCCGGCCTTCCAGAACTACATCGACAGGCTCCGATCAGACCAGACGCGATGCGAGTTCTACATCAGCAGCCACCACGACCATCCAACTGGTGCACCATTCGAAGAGCATCCTCCCAAGCAGATCGCGCGACTATGCAAGACTCCGCCCAAGCCCAAACCGACGAGCCGAAACGTCACAGGACACGCCAGATATGAAGCGCACAATGGCAGCAGCTCGCCACGGCATCCACCTCCAGTACTCCCACCTCTCCTATTACCGCAGGAGTGCGACACACGAGCCTCGCCGGTGCGCGGCGCGCAGCCACGTGCACACAAGTGTCGATTCAGTGACACTCTGTCTCTCTCTCTCTCTCACTGATGCGCCTTACACCACATCTTTGCCCCGTCGCGGTGTCCGACACGCTAGTGGTTCCTTGCTCTTCAAAGCAGGCTTGGGGTGCGCCGACAAAGCCTTGGGTCGCAGTCCTAGTAGTGCAAGTCACCTTTGAGGGGCCCTGGTTCAGGCTGCCCTCCTGTTGTAGCCGCGCACTGTGCGCACTTGGGTCCCCAACAGTGTGCGACCCCATTCAGCGGATTAGACATTATTTTACTGCTTGCCCGCATTGCCTACTTACCTCTCTCTGATGATCCTATTATTCTTCTGTCGTTCTCACCCACGTCACAGGTTTTGGGTCCGCCTGAAAAACCCTGGGTCGTAGCCCAAGCAGTGCTGTGTAATTTCGCAAGATACGCCCCCGCTCAGAGTGGGCTTGAATGCGCCTACAGGCTGCTTTCCGTGGTGCCCACACTTTGCGCGTGAGCAATTTGCCCGCGTGTGCAGATATCTCGCGCGCACTGCTTACTACCTGCGCATCAGTGACTACCAGCCGCACAAGCCCCACTTTTCCTTTGGCCTCACATCGGGCATGTGATCCTCACTCTGCTGTCGCTCAACTGCGCTGATGCGCCTTGCGCCCCATCTTTTCTCCGACGCGGTGTCCGGCGCGCTGGTGGCCCCTCGCTTTCACAAACAGGTATAGGGTGCGCCTGCAAAACCCTGGGTCTCAGCCCTAGGATTGCAAGCCACCTTTGCAGCCGCGCACTGCGCGCACTTGGGCCCCCAACAGGGCGAGGCCCCATTCACGGAACTAGACCTTCTTTTCACTGCTTGCTGGCACTACCTATATCTACCTCTCCCTGGTGATCCCCTTATCCCTCTGTTTCCCACCCGCGTTACAGGTTTGGGGCCGCTAATAGAAAACCCTGGATCCCAACCCAAACGTTAGTAATTACTTTACAAGATACGCCCCCACTAAGAATGGGATTTGATGTGCCTACATGGTGACTTTTTCAGGGCCACACCGCGCACGTGAACAACTTGCCACGTGTAAGGATATCGCGCAGCAGTAACTTTCAGCCGCACGTGCCCATGTCCCTTTTGGCCTCACATCGGAGTTGGTCCTCACTCCGCTCGCGCTCAACTTCGCATCGCGCCTGCCGTGCAGCTGGCCTCGCACTGTCCTTGGGGATTGGAGGTGGGGTGTTGGCTTTTGATGCGGTGCGGCGGTGGAAGAGGCGCCTGCGACTCTGCGCGGCTGGGCTTTTTTGTTTAAGCAATGAATAAAACAAGCAATCAAACACAGTGTATATACACATGTATCTATATATATATATATAGATGTATAGCTCTATCGTGCCACATTTGCCCTTGCCGCAATACTGCTTGAGGCAGGCACGCCTTGCAGGCCAGCCTAGAACTGCTCTGTCCTCGTGTTGGCTCATCCCATTTGCACATGCCTGCCCTTCACACTCTCGCCATGCATGCGGTGGCGGTGGCCCCCTTCCACTTGGGAGAGCCGGAGAGCGGGCCTCCTGCTGGCTGAAGGCGCGGGCCTGCTGGCAACAGCGACCAGTGTACACGGCTTGCCACAGCCATTCCTGCACCTCTAGTTCGAACTACACCTTAGGCGATGCTTAAGAAAACTTAAATTTTCGGCCAGGGTCTCGATTATTCTTAATGTTTCAACGTAAATCCTAAGATTTTAATAGAAATTGTATGTTTTTAGTCAAGTTCTGAGACTATGAATTTCTTAACCCATGATTTCTTAAGCATTTCGCAAGGTGTACAGCACGGGCAGCCTCCCCCAAACTACTAGTTCAACAGGGTTCGGGTCAACCAACACCCTGGGCAGCCCAAAGGCTGCCGCAGCCATTTTTTCTCACAGCTGCAGCCTGCCAAGGCGGCACACACACTTTTAGATCAATCTTTGGGATGGACGAGGTATGCATGGGAGTTGGGAAGATGTGCGCTACTGTTTGGGGTGCACCAAAACCCTGGGCAGCAACCCGAGGACGACTCACAGTGCCGCTTTTTCTCACGAGTGGCGATCGTCGCACTTTATCAATGAAAACTCTGCGTGCAGAGGCGGGGCGACCAAGTAATCCTATGACCGATTCTATACTATATTGTTTTTGTTAGCTTATTACAAAGGTCTATGCCGTCTTACTGTCCTTGCTCAGCCGCGACGACACTCACCATCAATATTCAGGTTGTTATCCTGTGCTTGTGTTACCTTTTGTTCTTTTCGTGATCCCACTAAGGTGAGTGCTGTCACACCTGGCGGGCACTTATTATCACTAGTAGTCTTTTCCAGCGCTCGCTCTCTTACATTTTCCGCGGCGCCCGACATGTGTTTTTGACCCAGGCCTTTTTTTCGCCACCATTACCGCCACAGCTTCACGCTCAGGTTGGTCTAACGTTAAAAATAAGGAGGAGGATAACAATAATAATAAAAACAATAATGAGGAGAAATGTGATGATGACGAGGAGGAGGAGGAGCCGGAGGAGGAGGAGGAGGAGGAGGAACCGGAGGAGGAGGAGGAGGGTTGCCAAGTACGCTATAGGCTTTCGGGGCGCCTGAGCCCATCTTTAAGCATGAGGCGACCCTCAGAGTTCAGTGATCCACGACCGCTTGGAAGTTTAATCCTGACAATCCTGAGTGTGTGTGTGTGTGTGTGCGTGTGGTGCGATAGGTACTCGCATGGGAAAAGGCAAAGGTCGTACGCGAACGCGCCCCTCGCCATGCGGAGCGTGCGTGCTCCGCGCTCTGGTTGATGAGCCCCCTGGTGTGGTCAGCACGCCGACGGGCCAACCCCCGTGATCGCGCAAGGCACCCGCGAGCTCGAGGATGCAGCTTTTTTGGGGCAGCAGGTCGATCCAGGAGTGAGCCCGTCCAGACAGTTTCGCCCAACCGTCTGCCCAAGAACTCGGGGAAGCACCCCGAAGGCTCAAGTCGGGTGGCACGGGCGTGCATGCTACCAAGCATCACTGCTGGGACCTCGGTCGGTATGGGCCTCCAGCCCCGAGGAGTGAACCGATCCGCAGATTGCACAAACGGTCGCAGGATGGGACGAGACACGTTTTCCACAGGCCGCAAACGACCCAAGGCACTACGGTGAAAAGAGGCCAGAGACGGGGAGACGCTCGTTAAGGCAAAAGGCTGGGCCAACTTTCGAGTTGGGGTGTTGACCTCTGGCAAACCTGTCCCAATAATGCTTTGCGTTATTGGACGGGAAGCCGCGTCCTGGCGGAAGAGGAGGAGGAGGAGGAGGAGCAGGAGGAGGAGGAGGAGGAGGAGGAGGAGGAGGAGGAGGAGGAGGAGGAGGAGGTGGATGGGGCGCCCCTGGTTCCTGAGGTGAAACTTGGATTGGGGTTTCCCAGTTTCTCATTTTCTTCTGTTTCGTGGGGTGCCTCAATGGACCAGTCTCCCAAGGCAGGCAAGAGGCAAGAGGAGGAGGAGGAGGAGGAGGAGGAGGAGGAGGAGGAGGAGGAGGAGGAGGAGGAGGAGGAGGAGCTGAAGTGAGAAGACTGGGAAGCGCCATGGCCAGGCCCTCCGTCTGGCGGGGCCGAGCCACGCCTGGGGTTTTTGGGTCTCCCCCGCCGCGGGCGCGGGCGCGCACCCTTTCTAGTTTTCGCGTTCTCGCAGAAACGGCGCGCCTCCCTGCTGGGCTGCTTTGCTGCCTCTTTCGGCGAGCCCAGTCCAATTCAATCTAACTTCTGTTAGGCCTCCTGGGCCCCCTCACGCACGCCGCCTCACACAGATGTACATCGCCCCCGTCGTTCGGAGTGGCGCTTTCTTTTCGCCCCAGCGCGGGCCAAACTTCAAGATCTAATCTCTTCCTCGTCATTGCCGTCCCTCGTCGTTCTTCTCCTGCGCCCTCGCTGCTCCTCCCACTCGTCCTGCTCCTCCTCCTCCTCCTCCTCCTCCTCCTCTTTTTCCTCCTCCTCTTTTCCCTTACCCTCCTCTTTTCCCTCCTCCTCCTCCTCCTCCTCCTCCTCCTCCTCCTTCTCTTCCTGCTCCTCCTCCTCTCCTCCTCCCCCTACCCTTCCTACCCCTCCCCCTCTTCGTCATTTTCGTACTCTTCCTCCTCGTCTTGCAGGCCATCCTGCACGAAGGCCTCTGCTCTTCTCTCCTCCCCTCCCCCGCTGCTGTCCAGCGTCGCCTCTCTGGCCTTGTTGCTCGATTGTTCGGGGTCCGCTTGGCCGATGCGGAGGCAGTGGACTGGTCGGCCGCTGTCTCGGTGATGCATAGCGGCCCCGAATCGCGACGCAATGCTGGGGTGGAGGGGGGTGGATTACGGAGTCCAGGATGCGCAACCAGTGCAGGGGGTGCATATGGGTTTGTCCAGGGCTTCGGGGCAGCTTGAAGCACTGCTACTGCCACTGATCGTTCATGTAGTTGCTAGCACCTCCCAGTCCCCCTTTTTAATGACCCCCTCCTGACCCTCGGTTTGGTCCGTCCCTCCTCTGAAGCCTTGCAGTTCACTGCCATGTACTTCCATCTTTTTTCGGCTTGCCCCCCACGAGAGTAAGCCCCACCCTGTCCCTTCTCACAGGAGGCCGCCCAAAGCCTGGATCGATCAGCCGTTGAGATGCCCCTCGGCAAATCCCGCCGCAAAAGGCATTAGTGGGAGTAATTTGGCTCCCCCCAGACTCCAACCTCTGTACCTCCTCCCTCCTCCATGGTGAGGCTTCGGGTTGCGCACGAACAACCCTCCCAGGTAATCCCAGCTGGCCTCAACAGCCTCCCCGGGTAGTCTAGGACGGTTGAGGCCAGCCAAAACTACCCGAGGGGGCCTGTCTGTGCGCAATCCGGAGCCTCACCATTCCTCCAGTCCCTTCTCGTGTGTACAGAAGACCCCATGCTCCTTGCGCAGCAGATGATTGGTAACGTCCTGCTAGTGCCATTCGGGGATCAAGGTCTTGCATGACACCTCAGCCGGCTGACAAGGAAGGGGTCACGGGTCACCGCGTTGGGAAGGGACGGAGTAGCAGCTGTGGGACGTCATATGTGGCGCGAGTGTACCTCAGGGTCCGTTCCGTTCCGATACATCGATTCGATACAGGTTTCGTCCGACTCCATCCGACCCTTTTCCAATATTCCGACGGCCCAATGCGACCCGATGCTTGCATGACGCTGTTGTGCATCCTGGCGCAGCCAATCCGATGTGATTTCGACTCCGTGCCGATGCAGCCCGACCCGACGCGCATTCCGATCCGATCGGGTTTCTCCGTTCTATGCTGACTGATCCTGAACCTGGCTTGCCCCCCTCTCGCCCTCCCTCCCCGTACCCCGTACAGTCGGGGCCCTGAAGAAGGAACCCTTTCCGTTGGGGAGGGGCTCCGTGTTCCTTAAGTGTTTCGCAGCTTGCCTCAGGTTTTCCTTATGCTTTCGATCGGAAATCGAAGTTTGACTTGTGGAAAAAGGGGCCTCGTTCCTTATTTAGGGTTCCTTGGGTCAACGCCCCGACTGTACTCCCCCCCGTCTGCTGCATTCCCAGCCGCTGGCGGCTTCTCCTCCCGACCCTCCGCTTGGAGGGGGTGGAGAGGCGGTGGTGCCCTGCAGCCTCAGCTGAAGGCAACACGGGTCAGGCACTCGTTTGCCTTCCCGCATCTTTCCCCCCTCTTCTCCTCCGCCTGCTGTGCTTGGCAAGCACGCCCCAAGCGCTCTCCTGGTTCCCTCTCCCACTCGTCTGGGGTTCCCACCGTCCCCAGGTCATGCACCTCCGCTCGCTGAGGGCGGGATCTGAAAGTTGCTCCTCGCCTTTATTCGATCCTTGATCCTTGATAATCTGTCCTCCTCTTCCCTGACCCCCCTCCACCTCCTTCTCATTCTCCATCTCTTTTCCTTATAGATGCTCCTCCCCGTCGCGCCGCGAGGCTGGTCGAAAGGGCGGGCGGGGCTTTTCGCCTGAGACTTCCTTCCCATGTGTGATCCGGGAGTTAAAAGCAGATGAAAGCGATTCACGGATGGAGGGCAGGTCGCTTTCAAAAGATGGCGCTCGCCTTAGCGACGCGCACTCGCTGTGTAAGCATTTGCGAGAGTCTCACGGATTGAGGCCGGGTGGTCCTCAAACTGTGGCTCTCGCCCTACAGGCGGGGCCCCGAAGAAGGAACCCTCTTCGTTGGGGAGGGGCTCCGCGTTCCTGAAGTGTTTCGCAGCTTGCCTCAGGCTTTCCTCAGGTCTTCGATCGGAAATCGAGGTTCAACTTCTGGAAGACATGGGGCCTCGTTCCTTATTTAGGGTTCCTCAGGTCAACGCCCCGACTGCAGCGCCGCGCGCCGTCGTCCTCAGCACTTCTATGCAGGCGCGTCACGGGCCGAGGGCGGGCCCGCACGCACACCTTGGGGTCTCGGCACCCGCACGGGCCCTCCCGGGTGGAGGGCGGCCCCCTCTCAGCATGTGGTTCTCGCTCCTCCTCCTCCTCCTCCTCCTCCTCCTCCGCCTTCCCCTCCTCCTCCTCCTCCTCCTCCTCCTCCTCCTCTTCCTCCTCCTCGCGCCGCGCACGATCGTGCTCAACAGCTGCGACAGGTTTGGCAGGTTCCGGCGGGTTCCCGTGGTCAGCGTACCAGAAATGTTTTCTGGTCGAGCGATTCAGGATTTCGCAGGCCCAGAGGTTGACACCAACACCAAGATCGGCGGTGCGCCTCCACCGAGGGAAGACGGTCCCGATCTCGGTGATGGTGGTAATATTCTGGCTTCCAAGGTGGCCGAAATATTGCCACCAGCACCGAAATCTAGGATCATCTGCCCCTGTGGAGGCAACCCCCTGGGCTGGTGTTGGTGCCAATTTCCAGGCCTCCAAGGATTGGTGCACAAGTTACGTTGATTCGCGGTGTTTCAGTCCCAGGAGTGGTGTTCTGGCACGATCCAGTATCGTCAAGACGCAACAGTCAGGTCAATTCGTGGCGTTGAAGTTCTGAGAATGTTGTCTTGAATGCCGCTATCCGAGCCGGTCGTCCAGGTCATCGCAGGAGTGGCATTTCCCGACACCGTAGGGGGTGCGCAGGGGGTGGTCCCTGAGCGCGGCCGCTATCCGAGCCGGTCGTCCAGGGCGTAGCAGGAGTGGCACTTTTCCGACACCATAGGAGGTGCGCAGGGGTTGGTCCCTGAGCGCGGCCGCTATCCGAGCCGGTTGGCCAGCGCAAGGCAGGATAGCACTTTCTCGACACCGTAGGGGGTGCGAAGGAGTATATCAATGGCGAGGGGGAGAGGACGAGGAAGAGGAGGAGGAGGAGGCTATCATCACTCCAGCCATCATATAAGTATGTGGGGTTCCTCGGTAGCGCCATTACTGTTCCGATCGCTATCACTAGTACGACGACTTCGACTTTTGTTGTTGTTGTTGTTGAACATTTCCGCTGCCATTCTTACATACCACTACTACTACTACTACTACTACTACTACTACTACTACTACTACTACTACTACTTCTACTACTTCTACTACTACCACCTTCGCCATTGTTATTGCTACGACGATATTCTGACTACTACACTTACTACTACGCCTGCTGCTATTACGGCTACGATCATTCTGATTACCATGAGTACCACTACTACCTCTACTACTGCTGCTATTTTTAGTTTTGCTACTTCTTCTTCTGCTGCTGTTGTCGTTTATTAGTCTACCGACACTTTGACGACTACTTGTTCGACTATTACTACAACTACTACTTCTATTATTGCGACTACAACTATGACTTATATTACGACGACGACTACTACTACGACTACTACTGCTAGCTATCATTATTACTACTGCGTTACCAGTGCTCCTATCAACACTACTCTTCGGTTTGTATTGACTACCACTACCATGTTGGCTGCTGTCAAGCACTGGCCGTGCCAACACCACTTCTATGTTCAACTACTACTACCACTACTACTACCACTACTACTACTACTACTACTACTACTACTACTACTACTACTACTACTACTACTACTGCTACTACTGCTACTATTACGATTGCTATTTCCAACACTGTTGTTACTACTACAACTGTTATCACTACTACTACAACTACTATTACTAGTATTTTTCTGGCGATTACTATTACTACTACTTCTACTCGTACTACTGAATACTATTGCTGCTACTACTACAGAATACTAATACTCCTACTCCTACGTCTGCTACTACCACCTACTATTATCATTACTACTACTACTACTACGACGACTACTACGTGTGTTAGGGCGACGGCTACGACCATTACTACTACAACAACTACGACTGCGACTACTACTATTAGTACTATTGCTACTACTACTACTACTACTACTACTACTACTACTACTACTACTATGGCCACCACTACTACAGCAACTACGACTACTACGATTACTACTACTACGGCGATTCCTATTACTATTACTACTACCGCTACTTTCACCACTATTCTACATACTACTACTACTACTACTACTACTACTACTACTACTTCACGTCTTCTATTGCTACCACTACTACTACCACGTGCTACCACCACTACTGCTACTAATGGGATTACTACGATCAGTACGACGAGTACTTCTTGCACTGCCACTATCACTATATATATACTAGTACTTCTACTATTCCTACTAGTACCACTACTACTACCACCGCAACGACGATCTATTCCTACTACTATTACTACTAC